TTATGTATTTATTTATCAGTTATTGTATTTGCATATATATATATATTACATGTCATTGTGCTGAAGAGCATTATTTGCTTAAAGTAATAAAAAAATTGATACAACAGCAAGACAATGCTAAAAACGGAAGCTGTTACTGCTAAACATAGTTTTAGAAAAGTTGAATAAAACAATCTTTCACGTTCTAGAGAACTATATTATTTCTTAGCTTTCATTAATAAAATATACACATTTTTCATCAGTCAACCATTATAGCGCAAACAGATTGAAAAATACAGATCCTTCATCATATGTACACGCGTTGGTTATAATGATAAAAGAACGCTCTGTTTTACTTGTATGGTATTTGTTGAAAAGATACGTACTTGTACCTCCCAACAGGAGGCCTTAATTTGACACCTGATATTGCAAAAATGGTATAATTATTCGATCAAGGCATTCTAAATTATGTTAATTTTACTGACAAATGGACACTACAGGTTGATATATTATGAACACTTATCATGCTTATATGCAGATAGGTCATTTGCTTTACCACATTAATGTCGTAAACATGTACAAATGGCAATTTTCCCATAGTTTGTGGATAAAGTAAATGTGATCAAGTACTTTACCCTAAAAGATATTTTGTTGCAAGATAATATAATGAATATTATTGCAAAATATATTTTTAGGTAAAGCCTAGGCTCATACATGTATCTAAATATCAATGCCATAACCTCAAAACGAGGGTATTTATGCATATTTTCAGTTTTACACTAAATGCAAAAAGTTTGAAGCCTTAAAGGAAATGTGTAAGACAGATTTCAAAAATATAATTCTGAAATATATGAAGAATTCCAGGGACGAAATAGTGGCCTTATTGTACCTTCTCCTTTGGAGGCAGACATTTCAGAAAATAGAACAGAACATCATCAGATCCATGTAAGCGAAGCCCGGACACATAATACATACATGTATTCAATCAGATTGTTTGTACAACGGTTTTGATAATTAATTATGAATTTTATTACATGGTGTGTTCTACGGTAAATAGAAAAGAAAACAGACTATAACACATATTTGCAATAAAAGAAGTTAAGAGACATGTGTTTTAATAATATTTAAATTTCTAAAAGTACATTACCATTATCTTACTTCAATCATATTAGTGGTAAAATTTTGTAATAAATGAATATATATAAATGAACATGCAGTCAGCAAGTTTTAAGAACATCCGTTGTTCGACCTGCTAGTCAAATGCGTTTTGTTAAAATATACTTTTTCACTTTTTTTTTCTTTTGGAAAATGTTGTATGTGCTGTATTTAGACCCCTCTACCAAGAAATTTGTTTTGCATGCACACGTATAAAAATTGCGGTTTTTATCCAACTCAATCATAGGTTTGAACGTTGTATTCAATATAGTCTTGTTTATAAATGAACATGTATTGTCGTTTTATAGCTTATTATATTGAAATTTGGTCTCTTTTTTTTTTGCTCTATAGTTTCATTCATTCAGAATATTGCTCTGCATATAAATTGTAATAGGGCAAAATAGGACTAGAGGAAAAGCCAATACAGTATTTTTAGGGTTACTACTTTTTTTTCGTGCGAGATGATTTTTAACCCTGGAAAGAGCTTAATTTCTAAATCACTTGCGTGATTGCCTGTAATAATTTCGGAATTTCGGTAAACTTTTTTATGAATCAATTTCTCAGCATTGTCATCTATTTACTCTCTGTTAGGTTGAATGTTTGTGTTAGAGAAAATTGTCATTAATATCTTTCATTATCTTACCTCCTATATATATCTAGGAATAAGATTGATTAAAAGCGACCGCGAGGAGATATTTCATATGGGGTTAGTAGGGGTGGTTTATTTTAATACACGGTTAGTAGTAGTGTTATATCCCTTTATAAAAACAACACGGCATTGAGGAAAAATCTAAAACGTTTCACCCGGACAACAGATGAAGAAATTGATAATGAACGACTGAAATAAATTCATAAAACACATTAAAAGCTTACAAGTTGTTACGGTTGGCATTTGTTTTTGTATAGACCAATGGAAGTATGTTCTTTACACAGAAGACTTAATCACTTTGATAGGACAATGGTCTAAATGCCACATGTTAAGATAGTCGGTAAGATAAATTCGTTACACAATGTGCTAGAATTCAGGTTTTTTTCTGCTTTTGAATTAAATCGGTTGATAGATACTTATAAATTTTTAGTTGTTAACTAAAGACAGCATACCTACAAATGTATTTTTTTTCTTTTTTTTTTATTTTATGGACGCACGCGTACGTTACATTTGAAAATGGCTCTACACATTCACGACAGTGAGTGACTTGATATAGCTTACAAAAGAGAGGCGAAAGATACCAAAAGGACATTCAAACTCATAAGTCGAAACTGACAACGCCATGGCTTAAAAAGAAAAGGACCAACAGACAAACAACAGTACAAAAAACACATAAACATAGAAAACTAAAGACTTAGGTAAATCACCACGTATGCATTTTATACACTTTAAAACAAAATCCCCTGATTTCGGCTATTTAAAGATGTATAACGATACGCATGAGTGATAACTGTAACTTTATTGATGCTTTGTAACTCAGGAACTGTTCTAAAACACACTAACAAGTTGAAATTATATTTATGTCTGATGCAAACACAATTGAATAATAAAGACAGAAAAAAAATTTATAATTTGAATAATTTCGTGTTTGACCTTGCGTCATTAAAATATCGATTCGACACTTCACTATCAACTAAATGAACACTTCAGTCATTTTCATGACCTACTTTCATGATTTTTCCGGCCTCATTTTTCTGGTACGCTCACATATAATAGATGCACCCCAATATTATCCAATCAGACGTTAAGAAAGTCATTACATCTAATATTTTCCAATGAGAATACTTTAACAGATTAACAACTTTGTGACTTGAAGCGTATAACTATTTAGACCAGGTCTCATTTGACTCGGTAATAAACGAATCCAAAGATATTGGGAATCCCTCCACCCTCAATGGTTCCTCTTCTGTCAAAAAATGGTGTTTGGAAAGCTTGAAAGGGTAAACCAATAACTTTGTTGTACCCGGATGTGCAAATCACATAGAATATATTCCTCCGTTCTGCAGTCAGAAATATTTTTTATCAAAATATGCAACCCCAGGTGTTGACTTCGGTATAGAAAATGGTCACCCAAAAAGACCTCCCATCCGGCAGTAAAACCCTTTCTAAAATGGGTCGTATAGCTGTGCGGATGTATAATACACAGTCACGTCCTGTCGGAAGTGATATCAAAGCTTTGTATAGTTTGAGTTCCACGGTCAGTAAATATCCCTTGCAACAACTCTTTGATGGGTCTATAGGTGGCCTGTTGCAAGGTAAAATGACAGCCCGTATCAACATAAGCTCATTTGCCAGTGGCAGTCCAAATTTTTCGCCCTTCATCCCGATGACCAACCTTTCAAAACCTACTCGTCCTAAACATGCATGGAATATTTTCCAATGAACGTCAAGCAAGAAACACACAATTGATCATTTAAATCTGCACCACTTTTAATGAGAAACTGCATGAAATAATGTTCGGGATTTCATGTACACAGTAATCCGCTTCTTACTTTTGCTCTAAAGTCTTCTCAACGCAGATAACTTCTCATTACAGATTTTCAGTTTTTAAGGATTCACATGTCAGATTTTTGGGTTTTGAGGATTTGATTTTTTTGTTTTATTTTTTAATATGATTGTTTTCGAAGGACAGACTTAGATAACATGATTCACATAATATTTTCCAAAGTTTACTTTTTTGGAGATAGCCAAACTAAATGATCGAATTCCGATATAAACTAGGAGACGATAGTCCTTAGAGTCGAGATTTATTTCTCATTACTATCATTACTCATCCATGACGCAAAATCAGTAAATGCATAGCAAAAAACACACAAAAAGCAAAGGAACAGCGCTTGTATTGTTGTTCTTCATCTTAAAGTCACAGTGAGGCCATCAACATGGAGCAAAAAAAAAACAACAAAAAAAATCTAACCTACCTCTCTGCAAGTTTAAGAGGCCCCTAGCACCGTTTTGAGCGGAATTCTTTGCAAAATGATTCGGATAGGCTTTGTAAGAGGTAACACATATACTTTGAAACATTAACTCAATAAAAAGTCAAAATCTAATAATGATTCTATAAATAATATGTATTATCCTAAATTGTAGAACATTATCCACCAAATATCCACATGTTACAGTAGTTTGCGAATTAAATTATATCAAATGGTCCAACGAATATAGTCCCTAGTGTGAACAGTGTATAACTTGCATTTTTTTTTTGATACACTTTCCCAATTTATTTCTTGATATTTTATGCATGAAAAATTAAGTAAGGGGATGAAATTACATGTTAAAAAAATTTGGGTGCTGCATCTTTATGTTAAGTTGTGATTTGGTCCAGTTAAAAAAGGTCAAAAATTAGAATGTCTGAAGCTGTCAAACTGAATTTTAGCCCCCCCTTAACACAGAATTGTCAATATTTTGAGTTAGAGCTGGTAGAAGTTTCTATAATTTTGATATTATTTGTACCAATAGTAGTACACTACACTGTAAAAATCTTTTTAAGATAGAGCAGGTGCGATTTTTTTAATTTGAATTTAATGTCTAAAAGAAATGCACTACGAAATAACTGTGTTTTCGGGCCAAATTATATCAAAGGCTTATATACCTGAATTTTGAAATGTAGTTCTATATATTTTGTCTGTTTTTGTGATGTAATGAAAAAAGAAAGATAGATGAGTTGAAGCTAATCAAACCAAAAAGCTATAAACCGAATCTTGTCAATTTTTTTTTTCAGAGCATGATTGACGTTTAATGAATTATTCAACGGTACATGATCACTTAATTACTGTAAGATAAGATATATAATTGTAAATGTAGTCCCTGACCTATACATAGTAAACTCTGACACAATTCACTAACATACAAGAAAAGGGGTGTACAAAATCTTACAAAGATGCTTGATTTTAATTTCATTTCTAAAATATTATTCCTTCTATCTTTACTGGTACCGATATTTGGACAAGTAACACGACCAGGAGTGTGTCCGAATGTTCGTACACAGCCTGGCTTTGATTTAAACAGGGTAAGTGAATTTTTAAAATATATATTTTCTCTTCGACTTGTTTTCCTAACTTTATATATAAGGATATATGATATGATTATAAATATTAGAAGATGTGGTATGATTGCCAATGAAACAACTCTCCACCATAGACCAAATCACATAGAAGTTAACAACTACGTGTATATGTCACCGTACGGCCTTCAACAATGAGCGTATAACTATAAAATACCCCGAAATGAAAAATGAAAAGTCGAAATTTTGACTTTTTGAAATCTTGATATATCGACTTTTTTAAAACTCGATATATCGACTTTTTTAAAACTCGAAATCTCGATTTTTTTAAAACTCAAAATTCTAACTTTTTAAAACTCCAAATTTCGAATTTTGCTCAGTATTTATACGTTTGAGATTATCACATTCACAGTCATTTACATCAGCAAGCGGAGAACCATATACATCATAAACTTGATAAGCATATTTTAATAAACTAAACCATTTTAAAGAGGTTATTTTAGATAAAAAATCTTTATTTTATGGAAAAATAAATGAAATATGACACATACAAATGTCTATTTCAAGCCTGGACTTCAGATATGTGTATCAAGACAAACCCGTTATTCCGACACACCTATATTACGCCATACTTTTATTCAACAGTCTAGTAATATAAATAAAGACAAGGGTTAATAGTCACAAGAAAGCCAACTTGTAGAGTTTAATCAATGTTCCAGAAAAAAAAAACTACATTTAAAATTCCAAAACTAGAAAACTGAGCAGCTCATGAGTCATCCTGAATATGCATGGCATATTTGCCACTTGATTTACCATTGTTTAAACAATGCAAAGTCAGTGACATGCTTTTGGGAAACCAAACAGGCCTTTAAAACCAACCATAAAACATGGGATGCTAAATGTCCTCAGACCTGACGATCCTATGGCAGTGTTGTGGAAACTAAAACATGGAATATGGGAAAACAACAATTTTTTTCTGTCAACATGCATGTTCTTTCCGAATGAAACTCTTCAATATTAAATGCTAATCCATATCATAATTTAAGAACAAAACCAATTTCTGAATATAAAATTCCAAAATGTGTGGATGACGCTTTTAATAATTTGCGTCCATGTCTACTCCTTCCAAAATTGTAACAACTGTGTTTGAATACTCTAACATCAAAGTCTAAATACTTTAAAAAAGTAGAAATTTAGATATTTCAAAAGTCAAAATTTTAACTTTAAAATAAAAATTTCGAGATTTTAAAAAATGAAATATTGAGTTTAAAGTCGAAATTTCGAGTTTAAAAAAAGTCGAAATTTTGAGTAAAAAAAGTCGAAATTACAAGATTTTAGAAAGTCAAAATTTCAAGTTAAAGTCAAAATTTCGAGATTTGAAAAGTTAAGATTTCGAGTTAAATTAAAAATGTCAAGTTAAAATCAAAATTTCGAGATTTGAAAAGCTAAAATTTCGAGTTAAAGTCAAAATTTTAAGATTTGAAATGTCAAAATTTCGACTTTGAAAAAAAAGTCCAGTGACAATTGTATTTTTACTATGTCCCTAATACGCTTCCGTAGAAAACTGACGGCGTAATTTATGTACAAAAAAATAAACTAAAAACAAATATGATAAACAGCAACAAACGACAAATACTGAAATAAAGACTTGGAAAAATATAAAACGATTCAATTTAGAAAACATACGGCCTTAATTATAACAACACAATTTACGAAAAACAAAAATGACAGACATGAACCAACGAAAAACCACTGAACTACAGGCTCATGACTTGGGACAGGCACATAGAGAATGTTGCGGGGTTAAATATGTTCGAAGGCGCCTACCCTCCACTAACAAGGGACAGTAATATTACGGCAAGACACAAGAAGAAACTATAAAACAATAAACGAAAAACAAATTTGATAGACATGAACCAACGTCAACCATTCAATTACAGGTTTCTGACTTGGAACAGGCACATTTATATACATATAGAATATGGCGGGGTTAAACATGTTTACTGGAGCCAAACCCTCCTCCTGATGTAACAATACAACATAATATGAACAAACTACAACATGTATGACAATTAGTTGGGATTTAATCTATTGATAATGAAATCATACCGATAAAAACAAATTTGAATTTTCAGTGGTTGTCGTTTGTTGCTATATATCATATATATTTTTCGTTCATTATTTTGTACATAAATCAGGCCATCAGTTTTCTCGTTTGAATTGTTTTACACGTGTCATTTCGGGGCCTTTTATATTTATGATATTGCGCTTTTAGCCTTTAATTTAAATTTTTACCACTATTACTAAATGGGAAATATATATACAAATAAAAAAATACAGGTATCTAAAAATAAAATAACAATCAGTACATATGCAATATCCAATGTATTTAGTGTAAAGACGTTATTAACAGTTAGAGAAATGCATGACCTTGCTCAATGCCAACATATATGTATCGAGAGATTGTAGAACCGTGAATGTACGTATTTGTATGAAAATAATATTTAGTTTTGTTTTAGATTATTGATAATAAAGTCAATATTTAAACCGATAAAACAATTTTCAAAGATCTAAAAACAGTGGTGAATTGGTAACCTTTAAGACAAAGTGTCTTTAAAGGATCGAGAAGTTTACCCGGATCGTATCTAAGTTTACTGGCTCGATAAATAACATCACCGTAAAAATAGGTTTGTCTATCCTATTTGTAATAAGTTTTCTTTAGGTACAGCCTAACTTCCAAACCAAGTTTGTGTATTTATGAAAGAATCTAGTAAAGGTTTAAATTAATTTGTGGAAATAAAATCCTTGACTTAATAATTTACCAGTGATAGAAAGATTACATTCATTGAAATCGTAAAAAACCACTACAAACATGGGCATAGCGAACGAGTTTGGATACATAAACACCGCAAGATGGTGTCAAAGGAACAACACCGTCCAAAAAAGGAAAATTAACAATAGGAAACGAAAAATTGTCTCGCTTGTCGTGAAATTTTGTGTAAAGTTTCCCGTGAAAAAGTGATATATCTAAATCTCGGAAAGGACAGTTATCGCTTTTTATATTTTATTTATTTATTGATAGTTCCTTTTGGTAAATTTCGGCAGTATATATTTAGTAAATTCTTGATTATTTTACGCAAAAGTATCATCAAGATAACGGTAAGTGTTGTTGAATTTGTCAATTAAATGGAATTTAGACGGGTCTTTACTGATTTTTCCAATGATACAACTATCCACAAGAATCCAAATAACGTGGGTGTGAGAAACTATTGGTCATCGTACGACCTTCAAAAATGAGCAACACATACACCGTATATTCAGTTATAAAAGGCCCCGACTTGACAAAAAGAAGATACAATTAAAACGATAAAACCAACGGTCAGATTTATGAAAAAAAAACAATAAACGAAAAACAAATACGACAAACAGCAACCGAAGACAACCACTGTATTACATGTAACTGGTTATGAACAGCGCATGAAGAATGGGGAGGGGTTAGATATGCCTATGTAAAACTCAGTTGCAAGTGACATCAGATTGCCACGAAGCACCAAAACAACTAACATAAAGAACAAAGCTAAGAATACTTGCAATAATAAGCCAACAACAATTATTATAAATAAATCATTTTCTCGTAGACTAAGTTTCGTTCAGTACACATCCAACTGATTTAGTGTACAGACGTCATACACATGAAATGTTTACAGTGATACAATAGAAAAACAAAAGGATTTGGGTATATATCCATTCATGACACAAAATCAGTACAATGTATGAATAAGAAACGGCTTTTATTTTCACATAAAAAAAAACATTCAATATAGTACTAGTGTGGTTGTACAGAATGAAAATTTGAACACAAGTGGTTAGAGGTAAAAAACACAATTGTCAAATTTTCTCTTTTGCCAGAGAAGGTAACACACTCTTTATTTCAGGTTTTGATAAACAATTGTCGTTTTAAAGCTCAAGTATCTACGTATTATACCTTATATTATATTTAAACACTCAATGACATTTGTTTATTTGAAGTACATTAGCAATTCCAAACAAATCTTTAAATTAAGGAGTTTTCACGAACTGTTTCCTCGCCTTGAAGAGAATATACATGTACATGTATGTTGTTAGATGAAACAATGAAAATGTTCATATAAACTTCGTCTTTATATTTTACACTCAAGAGCTTTTCCGAAATGATTTTGAGAGTGAGAGGTTTAGCTAGCTATAAAAACAGGTTTAATCCACCATTTTCTACATAAGGAAATGCCTGTACAAAGTCAGGAATATGGCAGTTGTTTTCCATTCGTTAGATGTGTTTGAGCTTTTGATTATGCCATTTTATAAAGGACTTTCCGTTTTGAATTTTCCTTGGAATTCTGTATTTCTGTTATTTTACTTCTTGCCTATATATTTTAAAGCACATTTCAATATTTTCAAAATGTGTTGTTAAGATTTACATGTGTACGTGTATCCTTTACATTACAAATAAGGAGCTGTAGCAAGAAAGAGAGTGTGACTGTCAATGAGACATATATACACACATACAATAAGAAGGGCTTAAATGATAGATACACCATACAATAATAAGGGCTAAAATGATAGATACACCATACAATAATAAGGGCTAAAATGATAGATACACCATACAATAATCAGGGCTAATATGATAGATACACCATACAATAAGAACGGCTACAATGATAGATACACCATACAATAAGAACGGCTACAATGATAGATACACCATACAATAAGAACGGCTAAAATGATAGATACGCCATACAATAATAAGGGCTGAAATGATAGATACACCATACAATAATCAGGGCTAATATGATAGATACACCATACAATAAGAACGGCTAAAATGATAGATACACCATACAATAAGAACGGCTAAAATGAAAGATACACCATACAATAATCAGGGCTAATATGATAGATACACCATACAATAATAATGGCTAAAATGATAGATACACCATACAATAATAACTGCTAAAATGATAGATAAACCATACAATAATAAGGGTTAAAATGAGGAGGTGGTTTTGACCTGAAATTCGCATACATCGCCATATTTTCCTAACAATATTTTCTAGAATATATTGTAAAACAACTCTGTATTTTTTGTACATGATTCCAATTTTTTCATCTAGATTTTCTATTTATGACATTATTTGTCAATTAGTATAAGTTAAAGTAAAAAAAACCAAAATAAATGTTCCGGACCATATGAGTATTTGGACCATACGCGTATTGTCCTGTTTATCATTAAGAGTTTTTTAAATTAAATCTGGACTCATTTTTTTTATATGTTGATTTATTGTTTTCCTCAAAAGCACTCGGGGCATTGAACCCTTTTTTTTTATTTCGTTTTGGTGTTTAAATTTGTTTTTAGTTAGTTTAAAATTTCTTAAATATTTCAAATTAGTTTTAGTTAAGTAATGTGTCCCTGCTCCTATACATACGATCTTACAATAACAGTAGATGATACTTGCTGTCCCTCTATTCTTACGTGGAAAATAAGATTATAGGTGCATCACGTATTTCTTACTGATATTGTAATTCAATTCAATATTTTATTTAAGTACCATCTCTCAATACTATATAATACAATATTATATTGTAATATCGTATAAATAGTGACAAAAACATAACAATGAAGGGAAAGTAATTTGAATTTAGAAGAAAAAAAAATCTAAACACCGGGGAAAAGATTCATGCCCAAAAAGCCTGTGAAAGCACTAACAAAAGAACAGGTTGACATGATAGATATGATTTAAATTGACGCTACGAATGCAAGATAAATGATACACTATGATTCAGACAATATGTCAAAGAAATCAGATTTCAGTTAGTAACTTGTAACGATTTTGATTTGGTAAATAAACTGTGTGTTCCTACGAAGGAAGTTAGAATTAATTTGAAAAATACCTATATGGTCTAAATACTCATATGGTCCTGCCCGTTAATAACCAAACGAGTATATACTCATATGGTCCCGAACATAAACATTAAAAAATGGTTCAATTGCCAATAGTACAATAAGTTAGCCAGGACGAAAACATAAACAGCTTTGTATGACTTTCTCTACAACCACACCCAATTGTTAAGTATTTACAAATAAGGGGCATGTTTATTTTATAGTATCTCGGACAGTGGTACGAAAGTGAGAAGTTTTTCTTCATTCCGGAAATTGGACTGAAGTGCAACTCTGCACTTTACACTCTAAACAGAAATGGGGCTGTGGGTGTTGTTAATTCAGGCATAGAAATAAGGTACGTCTGACGCTTTACAGTCTAAACAAAAATGGGGATTTGAATGCTGTTAATTCGGGCATGGAAACAAGGTACGTCTGACTCTTTACACTCTAAACAAAAATGGGGCTGTGAATGCTGTAAATTCAGGCATAGAAGCAAAGTAGTCTGACTCTTTACAGTCTAAACAGAAATGGGACTGTGAATGCTGTTAATTCAGGAATAGAAGCAAGGTACGTCTGACTCTTTACACTTTAAACAGAAATGGGACTGTGAATGCTGTTAACTCAGGCATAGAAACAAGGTACGTCTGACTCTTTACACTCTAAACAGAAATGGGACCTGTGAATGCTGTTAATACAGACATAGAAACAAGGTACGTCTGACTCTTTACAATCTAAACAGAAATGGGGGGTGTGATTGAATGCTGTTAATACAGGCATAGAAACAAGGTTCGTCTGACTCTTTATAGTCTAAACAGAAATGGGGCTGTGAATGCTGTTAATACAGACATAGAAACAAGGTACGTCTGACTCTTTACAATCTAAACAGAAATGGGGGGTGTGATTGAATGCTGTTAATACAGGCATAGAAACAAGGTACGTCTGACTCTTTACAATCTAAACAGAAATGGGGGGTGTGATTGAATGCTGTTAATACAGGCATAGAAACAAGGTACACCGACTCTTTATTCTCTAAACAGAAATGGGACTGTGAATGCTGTTAATACAGGCATAGAAACAAGGTACCACTGACTCTTTACAGTCTAAACAGAAATGGGGCTGTGAATGCTGTTAATTCAGGCATAGAAATAAGGTACGTCTGACTCTTTACAATCTAAACAGAAATGGGGATGTGAATGCTGTTAATTCAGGCATAGAAACAAGGTACGTCTGACTCTTTATAGTCTAAACAGAAATGGGGCTGTGAATGCTGTTAATACAGACATAGAAACAAGGTACGTCTGACTCTTTACAATCCAAACAGAAATGGGGCTGTGCTTGAATGCTGTTAGTTCAGGCATAGACACAAGGTACGTCTGACTCATTGTAATAGATAACCATTCAACGTTTAATTATGTTTATTGCAAAAAACAGAAGAATGCTCTAAAAAAACACAAGAAACTTATAATTAAGTAGCATACGTAAGAGTTAATCAATTTTCCGGAAAACAAATCTTAAAATGATATAGTTTCAAGATTCAAACATCTTGTCAAATTACGAATGGTTAATACAATGCTTTTGAGCATATTGTGATTTAATGGTAGACTTGGATTTTTTTTATTTTGGTAATCTAGCTCATTAGGTATATCTGCACGCTTGGCTTTCATATTTTTGATTTCAGTGAATTCATTCTGTGCGCTGGTTTCGTGCCCAATAGGATATATATCATTATATAAAAGTGTTATCTATACATCAAAATAATACAAGGCATCGCCACATCAAAATAATACAAGACATCGCCACATCAAAATAGTACAAGACATCGCCACATTTTCATCAATGAAATTTTAAAATTTGTATTTGATATGAAATAATGAATAACTTAAAGCAATACTTAACCCTTTTACAATGTAATTTTGAAACATACTACATGTACTTCTAATTCTACTAAACTGTTCTGTACTTAAAGCGATTGTAGTTTTCTTGTCGTTTATAAGTGTAATATCGCTTCATACGTTTGGGTCCTCTTTTGAGTCTACCAGTCGTTAATAGCAAAGTAAACTTACAATTTGAATTTCGAATTGGAAATGCTCTATAGTTAAAATATTGAGTACTTTTTTCAGTACCGGACAGGTACGTTCGATTGATGGAACAGCTATTAGTACCAGTGCCTTAGAACCAGGAAGACTTGTTGTTCAGTTTACTCCGTGTAAGTATAGATAAACGGAAGGAAGCTTTGAAGCTGAAAAAATAACTTAGTGTTCTCAAAAGACTGTCAGTCATTTATTACAAATAAGTGACGTTAGTGAGATAATACATATACATGTAACTGTTTCCTTGCCTATGCAAAGGAGTAAATTCACCAGAGAAGTGGCAATGTATATATCACATATTGTGTGACTGTATGTCAAGTAACATTTTTATACTTTGCGGTACAATTGAACCATGGTTGAAAAATGTATACAGTTATACCGCCCCATACCAATTTACAATGTACAACATGCACTGTAGAACCCAAGATTTGGAGAATTAAGAAACACAGCATCCGACTAACAAAATCTATACATGTATTTATATAAGGGTAAAATGACCGAGTTATCTCTGACTCTTGACAAAGTGCTTCCTTTTATGTCTCAACGGTTTAAGTTCGCATCCCGCTAACAAAACTATGAAAATAATTTCATATACTTGTACTAGTATTTAAATGCCACTAATGTAGACTAAGATTCCTGATATATTATGTGATGTGATATTTTAGTATGCCCCCACAACTGAAAGTTGGGGGGCATATTGTTTTACCCCTGTCCGTCTGTCCGTCCGTCTGTCCGTCCGTCCGTCCCATTATTGGTATATAGTTATTCCAGATAACTCATCCTACAGTTTGAATGCTAGGAAGTTTTCACTTTGCTGGCTGTTTGTACATATATTGAAGGTGTGCATGTGGTCAGGGTTTTGATTTTTATTAGTATTTGCTCTTTTAAGAGATGGCTGAACTTTGTAATTTTTTGGAGTATTTACTTGCATAAGAGGTGCATAGCGTTTCCGGATAACTCCTCCTACAGTTTGAATGCAAGGACATTTTCACTTTGCTGGCTGCTTCTGTTTGTTCATATATTGAAGGTGTGCATGTGGTCAGGGTTTTGAATTTTTATTAATATTTGCTCTATTGGGAGATAGTTGAACTTGTCATTTTTGGAGTATATACTAGCATAAGAGGTGCATAAGCGTTTCCAGATAACTCCTCCTACAGTTTGAATGCTAGGAAGTTCCACTTTGCTGGCAGTTTGTACATACATTGAAGATGTGCATGTGGTCTGGGTTTTGATTTTTATTGTTATTTGCTCTTTTGGGAGATAGTTGAACTTTGTCATTTTTGGAGTATATACTTGCATAAGAGGTGCATAGCGTTTCCAGATAACTCCTCCTACAGTTTGAATGCTAGGAAACTTTTACTTTGCTGGCTGTATAGACACATATGGAAGGTGTGCATGTAGTCAGAGTTTTAATTTTTTTGATATTTTCTCTTTTGGGAGATAGTTGAACTTTGTCAATTTTGGAGTATATACTCGCATAAGAGGTGCATAGCGTTTCCTGTTCAACTCATCCTACAGTGAACCATAGACCTATGTGCTCCCATGCTCAACTTTGTGTATTTTAAAATAACACTTTGCATCTGCGGGGCATCATTTGTGTCTTCTAGACACAATAATATCTCAAAGAAAGTCCTACAATTGCGGGGGCATTACTTTGTCCAGTGTAAATTATACAATCATTCATGTTATGGAGTATACGTTTTTAAAGTCTACGGGCTTTCCTGTTATAGAGTATTTGATGCATACGGGCTTTCATGTTATGGAGTATTTGATGTATACAAGCTTTCATGGATGACTTAGATTTGTTTTATCAATTTTTTTGAATAACATGAGTATGTCAAAATGGGATTATTATAATTTATTTGTTTGTTTTGCCTACAATGTAATTAATTATTTTACATTAAGTTACACCACCAGGACAGTATTGGGTTTTAGACACTGATTACGTAAACTATTCCGTGGTATACTCCTGCAGACAACAAGGCCTTCAAAAGATAGGTAAATATAGTTTAGAAATACAGAACAATTTACGATTACAAACATCATCAATTAGTTAAGAAATTTTAAACAGATTGATATATGGATTGGTGTTTAACGTCCATCGACAAATATTACACGCATATCAAGACAAGAGCATATAAATGTGATGTGAATATGAACCCTCCTTTGTGCAAGCTCGACATACTGAGTCGAATTTTAAACGTGCTAGCTATATAGTTCATTTAGAGCTAATTTCCTAATGCTTGTTGAGTAAGACTTTGGTTGGCTTGCTTGCTTTGTTTGTATAAACGTTTGCTCAAACATTGTAATCAAGATCGACATCTGCAAACAATATAGATAGGCATAGTCAAACCTACATATATTATATTTAAATTTGATTGGACGTTATCCCAATTACAATTGTACAATATACCAACAAAACAATTAATGTTAATTCCCTTCTCTACGTTAATTTGTTAAAATCTGTGTTTTGATTTTATTAATGAGAACCACACCAGAAAAATACGAAGAGCTCGTAAAATATTGATGTGATTTTTATACAAAAACATTAGATTAGAAGAAATAACATACAGGTCTATCAGACAAGTTCAAGCCGTACTATGTAAAACTGTGAATTCAACTGACACCAAAGGACAAGTATGCGCTCAAATGACTATTTGTGGTATATTAAAACGAACACGTGATACAAAATTCGATGTCGCGATACAGGTTTCTGGGAAAAAAAATCATTTAATACGCAATGATTCTTGTATAAAAAATAACCACACATAAATGGCACAAACCAATGTTAAAGTATGAATAAAAGGAGATGTGGGTGTGATTTCTTTCTAAATCTTTATCAGTTGAAGCATTTACATAATTTATGTTCAAATTTATCTTTTTTCCAGAAAATGCTTTTATTCTAACAAGACAAAGGTCAGGCTTGACTGCTGGCATACGAATTCAATTGTATAGTAAGTTGTTGGCATCGGGTATTAGCGCATTTGATTTTATACCAACCGACCAGACAGGTTGTCCAGTGCTGCCACCGTTCCAACCGCCGCCGGTTATTATACCTGGCATGCAGATTATACCGCCAGTGACTGAGTTATTTGTGTAATCTCTTGTTAGATTCATCTCTGTTAAACAAGGGAGGAAAAGAAACTATAGACAGAGAGTTTATTAAATGAATCTTCTTTTGTAAAAGGTGTTCAAGTTTATAATAAATATTGACTTATTCTAAGTACGAGAAACGTTACAGTTTACGTTTTTGTCGAAAAAAACAAAACATCAAATGGGCCATACTTATATGCGACTGTCATACAAGTGAGAGGTTTAGCTAGCTAAAACACCAGGCTTATTCCACCATTTTCTACATAAGGAAATGCCTGTACCAAGTCAGGAATATGACAGTTGTTTTCCATTCGTTTGATGTGTTTGAGCTTTTGATTTTGCCATTTGATAAGGGACTTTCCGTTTTGAATTTTCCTTGGAGTTGGATATTTTTGTTATTTTACTTTTTAATCAAAATTTTGAATTATATATCATAACTATTTATCTTAACGACACCGATGTAAGTTTGTCTGCAAAACAATTATGTATATTATTTAGAAACTTTACACAAAAATTTGATTGAATCATGACTGCATAACCAGCACCGTGCCCATAATGAAAAGTAAGACATAGTTGTTTTAAAAAACAAATTCCTCCACTTTTTCAGTCAGAAAGATATTTTATAATGCTTATATAACAATATTATCACCGGAGTATATATAAAAATTTTAAGTATCGAGAAGTACATTTAAAACAGCAATAGTTCGTAACAAAATACAATTATATACACACAAATGCACCCCATATGCAACCCAAAAGACATAATTCAATACGCGGTTGATTTCACACAAAAATAAATCGATGTATAGATATAAAAAGATGTGGTATGAGTGCCAATGAGACAACTCTCCATCCAAGGCACAATTTGTTAAAGTAAACCATTATAGGTCAAAGTACGGCCTTCAACACGGAGCCTTGGCTCACACCGAACAGCAAGCTATAAAGGGCCCCAAAAATGACTAGTGTAAAACCATTCAAACAGGAAAACCAACGGTCTAATCTATACAAAAAACGAGAAACGAGAAACACTTATGAACCACATCAACAAACGACAACCACTGAACATCAGGTTCCTGACTTAGGACAGGTGCAAACAAATGCAGCGGGTTTAAACGTTTTAATAGGCACCAACCTTCACCTTACCTGAAACAGTAGTGTAACATCACAACAAAGAAAGACACACTATAAAATATCAATTGCAATGGCTTAACTCAATCAAAAGACATATTAATAAAAACAAGTGAACATACACTAAACGAATAAATTTGATATATGACACAATATAAATACAAAATTAATAAAACAAGGGGGTTAGATGTAAAACAATATCAGAAAGACAGCCATAACTTTGGACAAAATGCCGCCAAATAAAATAACGTACACAGGTAAATAAAAATAATTTTGTTGTAAGGTATACATGCAGTACGAAAATAATGTTTACAAAATAAATAATTTTGTTGTTCCTAGTACGAGAACAAAAGTGAAAATTTATCGTCATACTAAACACTAATGAAAAGTGGTATATATTAAAATAGTGAGACGAGATATAACACTAAATAAGTAAACATTAAATAACAAAAATACATTACAAATTGTGTCAACAGGTCAAATTAACACGAAAGTACGATTTGAGAGTACTCGCAGTTACTGAAAGCTAGTTAAAAGCCAAAAACAATTAATAATAAAAAAAATCATGCATCAGAGACTAAAATCAACTTAAACACATTCCAGGGATTTAGAGTTTTAACGTCATGGACAATTAAAGAAGACATGACTTGTGCAATGCCAAAATAAAAGTATCGACAGACAGCAGGATAGTTAGGAGTTAACCTGTTAATACATATGTATAATGTTATATATAAATAGAGTAATCTCTATATAGAAAAAAAACGTGGATGTGTATTTATACATCCCAAAAACCGTTTGAAAAGACTACAAATTTAGTTATGTTTTAATTTGCTGATGACAAAATCGATGTTAGTGCCAATGTAAACTATATTCAAAGATCTAATTACAACATTGGTAAGATAACCTTTACTAATAAGTTTGTTTAAAGGTTCGATGAGTTTACACGAATCACATAGTGATATCCGCGCTTTTAGTACAATATTACCGTAAAATTTAGGATGTGAAATACCGTTTTTAATAAGTTTTCTAATAAGGTACAGCCACATTTACTAATCAAATCTTTGTATCTATGAAAGAATTTAGAAAAAGTTTTTAAGTAATTTTTGGTAACGAAATCCCTGATTTAATAATTTACCAGTGATGCATTGATTACGTTCGTTAAAATCACTAAACACACAGGCATAACGAACGAGTTGGAATATATAAACACCGTATGATGGAGCCAAAGGAACATCGCCTTAAAAGGAAAATTAACAATAGGGAATGAAAAATCGTCGCTTTTGTCGTAAATTTTAGTTTGGAGTTTTCCTGTCTAAATCTAGAAAAGGATAACTACTGTTGTTTATGTTAGATTTATTTAAAGTAAGTTCCTTTGGGTAAACTTTGGTAGTATATTAGAGAACTCTGGATTATTTAACGAAAATATATCATCAAGATAACGGTAGGTATTGTTGAATGTATCAACCAAATGTAACAAGGACGTATCTTTACTGAGTTTGGTTATAAACTGTGATTCATAGCAATACAGGAATAAATCTGCTATTAAAGGGGCGCATATATATATGTCTAGTAACACAGAACGCATTGTCAACCCAGTTGATGACTCGAGTTTAGAAGTATGCTCATCTGGAGTTTTCCCATCCGGTAGGGGGAAAAAAAGTCTGAAGAGGGGGTCTGTCCGTTTGGGTGTTGCTGATGTATACCTATGCAGCCACATTCGGTCAGAATTTGGGCGTTAAATTCAATGACTCGTGCAGGGAGAGTGTGAAATCTTACACATACTCTTTTATGATTCATAGCGAGATCCAAAAACACTCTTTCTTGCAATGGCATGCTACGAGTGTCAACATAGTTACTCTCTTCTTTTCCAGTGACGGTCTAATTTTCACGCTCTTTATCCCGTTTGAAGAACTAACGGCATTGTAAACTTGTTTCTTTATGAATGCGCATAATATATTAGCCAGTGGACGTTAAGCAGTAAGCAGCTATCAATCTTAAATTATGTTCATTTCACTAGTAAGTACTGTATTATAATTTAATGTTGACGTGTTAGCATATTTGATTGAGGCAGTATCTACGTATTATACCTTATATTATATTTAAACACTCAATGACAGTTGTTTATTTGAAGTACATTGGTAAATGTTCAAAAATTAGGAAAATCCAAACAAATTTCTAGATAACCTAGTTTATTTTTGATCAGTTTACATTTTTATGAGTTAGCTTGCTGTGTACCCTTCCGGTGTACTTGATTCCGAAACATATTTTGGCGGGGTTCGTATTACTCAACCATTAGATTTCTTTGAAAATTATTTGAAAACAATTGTTTGTCTATTCTTCCTTTCACTTTAACCATGATGTTGTCTTCCTTTTTATAAAATTTTTCATTGTCCTTTTGGTTTTTAGTTTTTTATAGTTCAAACTTTAGATATTTGATGAATGTGTTTGTTTGTTTTTGGAATTTCATGTTTGTATCTTGTTCTGTATGACCTTACTATTGTAAAATGTTTATAAGGTCAGGTAATATAACTAGGCAAATCACAAACAGCAAGAACATAGCTGCTGTAATCCCAATTCCTTTGGATGATGTTCTGTTATCTTCAGCACTGTTTAACGTTCTTAGAGATGAAGTAAGTGTCGACCTCTTCACTCTTAGATCTCGTCGTAGTATCTCCAACTCTTCTGACATGATAATCAGTAGTTCATCTTTTGTATAATTAGAAGACCAGACAGATGATGGACTTTCACATGTACACTGACAGACACCTCGAAAAAAGTAAAAGTTTTTATTTATATCAAAATGACTTAATTTTAAACAACAGTCTTTTTACCATAA